GAAGCGCGTGCCACTTGGCGCGCCGCGTCTCCGCGTGCTGGGCGCGGTGGGTGGCCGAGCGGGGCTGGAGGGGAAGACCGGCACACTGTGGGCACACCCACACGCCATGGCGCGCCACCCGCTGTGGCAGAGGCAGGGCGTAGGGCCGCCTGGCTGAAAGGGCCACCGTGCGTTTGGAAGCAGCAAAATTTAAAAGAAAAAAAAAACTGGTGCAGTACACTGCGTGCATCAAAATGTTTTTGCAAAGGTACATGTTTTTTGCTATCGATTATAGCATGCCTTGTCTCAACAAATCCCCCTTTCGTTCCGACGCCCCCTCCATCTCCGAGTCCCTCTCCCTCTCTCTAATAGCCGGCCTGGGCCTCTCCTTATTAGAGGTCTCCGTCGTCCTGGAATGCTGCTATTTTTAGCGCCAGACACGCGAGTGCACGCGAGTGAGCCTGTCTGCCCCGAGGACTGCCCTGCCATGCCCTGCCCTGCCACGCCGGCCTGCCCAGGCCTGGACGTCCGACTGGGACTTCCCTTTGTCTTCCAGAGTCGCTAAATGGGACTCGAACCGAGCGTGTGACCCCACCAATGGATTGCTCTCCGAACGAGGAATCCATTGGTGGGGTCACACGATCGGTTCGAGCCCCATTTGGCGACTCTGGAGCTCAAAACGCGTCTGGAGTTTTGGCCGGCCCCTCCGGTCTTCTGGCCCACTGTGCGCCAAGCCAAGTGTGAAGCTTATTGGTGCCGGGGAAACCGAGGGGAACCGAAGCACCCCGCCGGTCGGCCGACGCCGCCCGCCTTGCCAAGTTCGCCGCGAGGGGCGGAGCCACGCTCGGAGCCATGAGGACGAGGTCAAGCACCTCCGGGCGGTCATGTGCTGCCCAGGGCATAGGTCCATGGCCTAGGGCCCCTAGGGGGCACCGGGCGGGCACCGGGCAGGCACCGGGCAGGGATCGCCAAGTGAGATAGTACCTTGGTTCCCCGTACCATGATGGCAGCCCAGCGCCCCGGCAATGCCGACACCGTGTCAGATGAGTGAGACGAAGAGAGGCAGTTGCGAGGGTCTGGGCGGGGCGGGGCGGGGCGGGCCAGCGGAGGGGGAATCATCCATCGGAAAGAACACGTTCGGGACCAAAACTAGTCAACGAAGGTTCACCAATTATTTTCTCGATTTTTTTTTTAAATTTAGAATCTGGCTTTCTTGTACCTGTTCCATGCATTTTTTTTTCTCCGCAATTTTTTTTCTAAATAGGCAGCAACTTTTTGCCCACTTTTTATTGAATAACCCTCGCTCCAGGACGGCTCCGCGCTCCGCCTCGGCCGGCTGCCCGTCCGGTGACTCCAGCTCGACGCCAGCCTCGTATCGCCGGCGCATCATCACTTAGCGAAAGATTAAAAGAAAAAACCGGTTGCCGCAAACATACATTTTTAAAAAGTGTGTAAAAATGTTCCGCCAGGCCGAGCAAAACTGGCTGCAAGCGGCGTGCGCGTGTGCATGCGTTTGTGTGTGTGTGTGTGTGTGTGAGAGAGAGAGAGAGAGAGAGAGAGAAGGAGAGAGAGAGGGGGGAGAGAGAGAGAGAGAGAGAGAGAGAGAGAGAGTCAGCGAACTCTTGGCGAGACCAAAGCGCGTCTTGTCAGTGGGCCCTTCCTTATGTGCAGGACCCGTGCGCACAGGGCATGCCCTTGCACAGGGGCCGCGCCGCGCTTGGCCGCGACAGAAGACGCATATTGTATTTAAATCTGAGAATTAATAGTCAAGCCGGTGCGGCATTCATATGAATTCTTCTAGCGATGCCCTTCCGAGAAGCTGAGTCCCTTTTGTCCGCGCGGCCCGCGCGTTAATGGCTGGCGTACATCCGGCCACGCTCCAAATGGACAACATTTGTCGTAAACTGTCTGAAATTTACGCAATTTTCCGTCTTCTTGATTGATTAATTTTCAGAACGAAAATGATTGTAAACTAACCTAACTTTCAGCTCGAACTTTAACGCTGTCGTAGGGAGTCAGTCAGTGTCCACGAGTCGCTTAAGTCTGTGACATTCTCACGCAGGCCCTTAGCCGAAGTCCTAAGTAACAACAACAACAACAAACGGAGTTGTCATGCATTCCTAGATTTAGGCCGGGCAGCGGGTATGAATGCCCTGCTTCGCCTGCCTGACACGGCGGGCCTAAGGCAGCGACGACACTGGAAAAGGCGCGCCGCGTTTCGGCAGGCACCAGCGTCGAGGTCTCCCATTGCCCCATCCCGACCCATCCGCCCTCCCGCGCGCTCAAGTCTCCCAACCAGTGGCGCCAACAAAAAAAATTTTCTTTTGATTTCGTTTTTTGACAGTGGCTCGGTTGCGTGTCCGGCGGACGGGCCGCTCGGGGGGCCGCTACTGGCCGGGCCGGCCGGCGAGGACACTTGCCAATTTGGAAGCCTCGGCTTCCTTCCGGTGTGCCAAAGGCGGGCCAGAGCCGGGCCTAAGGGTTCAAAGACACCCGCGACACGTGCAACCGCACCTGGGCTGTGCACGTGTGGGCGGGACACTCCTTGGTACCGGGACGCGACGAGAGGATGGGGTGGGGGAACGATTTTCATATTTTTCTTTAGAGTGGCTACCGGTGCACTACCTTAAGACGAATGTTATCGTTCTGTATATCAGTACTAGCCAGGGGAAGGCCTTCGGCCTCGATGCTGAGCTGGATTCTGCTGGAGATGGAAATGCATTTTCATCAGTAGTAAATTTGGATGTGTTTATTTTGAAAATGAGCCTCTTTTCTTTTTGGGGGGTGATAGCCAGGAAGTATGCTTTTGCGCGAAGGATTGTGATTCGGCAATGGTTGGTTTCTCCTTGAATCGACGGAAGGCTATTTAATAATCTAAAACTAAATGTTCCAACCAATCCTAAACTAACCTAACGGGCTCGTGACAGATCTTACTCTACTCGTGACAGATCTTACCCTACTCTCGACAGATTTTATTCTCAAACTAAATGGTCCAACCAAACCTAACCTAACGGGCTCGTGACAGATTTTTCTCTACTCGTGACAGATCTTTCCCTACTCTCGACCGATCTTATTCTCAAACTAAATGATCCAACCAATCCTAACCTAACCTAACGGGCTCGTGACAGATCTTACTCTACTCGTGACAGATCTTACCCTACTCTCGACAGATCTTATTCTCAAACTAAATGGTCCAACCAATCCTAACCTAACCTAACGGGCTCGTGACAGATCTTTCTCTACTCGTGACAGATCTGTCCCTACTCTCGACCGATCTTATTCTCAAACTAAATGGTCCAACCAATCCTAACCTAACCTAACGGGCTCGTGACAGATCTTCCTCTATTCGCGAAAGATCATACCCTACTCGCGACAGATCTTATTCTCAAACTAAATGGCCTATGAAGCTTGGCGTACGACTATGGAGCTTGGACTATAGAATATGGACTATGGAGCTTAGACTTTGGAGCTTGGACTATGGAGCTTGAACTATAGAGTTTGGACTATGGAGCTTGGACTATGGAGCTTGGACTATGGAGCTTGGACTATAGAGCTTGGACTATGGAGCTTCGACTATGTATACGCATATGAATATAGTAAAAATAAACAGAGGAAGATACCTCTTGTAAACTAAAGGTATCAGGGGGGGGGTCGGACAAATGAGCTATTCAAAATCCCAAACAGGGTGCTTCGCTTCGCTCAGCAATTACTGACCCATAAAATTTATCTGAGTGGAAAAATAATTTAACACTGTGTATGAAGAATAATTTTAAATTTTTGATACATTTTTTGCCAATACTTCTGTATGGTACTTTTATTTTAAGGGGGCGGAGGGTAAGAACGCTGCTTATTCTGTGGGTGCCTCTGGCTTGCCTCTGGCTTGCCTCTGACTGCGGGACTGCGGGCGGAGATCATCTCGAAGTTATTGATTTTCCGACCCTCGCGCTGTGTTTACGCACTGTCTGCAATTTCGCTGAGTTAGTACTGCCGGCGGCCGGGGCCGTGGTACGTACCTTCAGTACCATCGGCACCATCGGTACCGAAGGGGTGAGGGTCCCGAAGGATCCGTCCGTCCCCCAGGGCTCTGTCTCTCTCTGTTTCGCTCGGATGCCTCGCAGGCGGCCCAAAGGCCTCAGCCTATCCCAACCGGTTCCATCCCGGCTTACCTCATGTACGCATAGGCGCATAATATGCACACAATAATCGCAGACTGCGCGCGTGTGTGTGTGTGTGTGTGTGTGTGTGTGTGTGTGTGTGTGTGTGCATGCCATATGCAACCCAGCCGCGACAGCGAACATCGGACATTGGCTTGGCGTCCGACCGCGTCCGACTCGTCCGACACATGCATAAGGCATGCCTCGGTCTTGCCCAGGGCTTGCCCAGGGCTTGCCCGCGGCGGATGCAAACCAACCTCTTTCCTCTCTCATTGGTCCTTTCGTCCGACTGTACCGCCAGTTTTAGAAAGGGGTTGGGAGCCAATGCTAAAGCACTAGGCACAATTTTGTTTTTGAGATTTTTAGAACGCAGAGACAGGACGCGAAGATAGGGCCTCACACTGTTAAGTTCAAGGTTTAACCTAACAAAACAATCCAGTGTTTTTTACGTGAATTTTTTTAAAATTTAAATGGAAGTTTAGTTGGCTCTACTTGCGAGGCAGGTGTTCAATCGCTACTTTTGAGTCCCAGCAGAAATCACGTTTTGACAGTGTACCGACGTCAGTGACCTTTGCGTGCCTTGCCATTGATTCAATGCAGCCTGATGCCTAGCCTGATGTCTCTCGCATCGCATGAGAAAGTGAGACTGACGCTCTGCACGACAAAGACACCACGCGAGTCAAACTCCCTTTCATTTCCCCGCGCTGTCGCCGCCCTTCAAGTTCAAGTCCAACGGATTCCTTCGTTCGGAGAGTAATCCATTGGTGGGGTCACGCGTTCGGTTCGAGTCCCATTCAGCGACTCTGGAGCTCTGCCCGCGTCTGGAGTTTTGTCCGCCTCCACCGGTCTTCTGGCTGTGAGACTCACCGTGTACCAGCGCCAGCGTGCCGAGGGCGCTGAGGGCGACGATGGCGCACACGATGCTGCTGCTCCTGGCCATGGCGATGCAGTGCGTTGCGGTGCGTGCGTCCGTCGTGCTGGGCTTCTGGTCGCGGACTGACTGACGCTGAGGCCGGCCGGCACGGACGCCCGCGGCCTGCCGGAGGCCGGGGGGCGCAGCACACGGCGCAGGAGCGCAGCGGGGGGAGGGGGGGGGGCACCTCTCCACGGTCCTCCCAGGCCCTCCCAGGTCCTCCCCCTGCCGCTAGGGCCGTCAAGCAGTGTGCCTCCACCTCTCTGCGTGGACGGCCCCTTGGGAGCCCAAAATTTGCGTCAAACTCTGCGACTTTGGACTGAGGAAAAGGAGACAACAACAAGATCGTTTTCAGTTTGACGTGTCGCTTTTCAAATTCCCATCTAGAATGAAGGGAGGACAGAGGTAAACATTGGACTTTTTTTGTTGTCATGCTTTCGGGACTCATTCATGCTGCAAAGCTCTACCTGGAATTTTGTCATTTTGACGACAGAGACTACGTTTGTGGGCGCTACGCACCCAGTGTGTGCGCACGTGTCGGGATGTCGGGCTGCTGGAGAGAGAGAGAGAGAGAGAGAGAGAGAGAGAGAGAGAGAGAGAGAGAGAGAGGCGTCCTGGAGCGCAGGTGTGCCCTTATCTAATCTTGTTTGCGCGCTTAGCGACGGCCCCCGGCGCGCAATGCTGCGTCGCGCTGCGTCTCGTCCCGTCGATCCCCCGGGAAAAGTCACGTGAGCGGCACGTCGGCACGTCTGATTCCCAGAAACGCCACAAACGGCTAGCCGGGGCCGCCGGGGCCGCGGGGCCCCAGAGGGGGTTACGAGGTCAGAGCCTTTGACATTGGCTTGGGTGGGTGGAGTAAAAAAAACTTTAAAAAATCGGGCAAGAGGGACGAGCCTTCCTGTGCGAAACTCCTACCTGTTGGCGAATCCGGACTGGCTGCACCTGTCCGAGCCGTACCCCTTGAGCCTGCCTTGAGCCCCGGGACGGTCCTGGGACGGTCCTGGGACACAAAAGGGCTGACTGGGCTGCGAAATCTGGACTATGGGTCGGGACGTGTCCTTTTCCTCGTAGAGGAGGGTGTGTCCCAGGGGGGCCTGGCTAGGCCCGGCACCCACCTGCTCAGGTAGCCCGCGTGGCGCAAGGGCCCGCAAAGGCCCGCAAGGGTGCACCCGGTGGGGCTCAATGAATGGCACGGTAGACCAATGGCAGGTTGCAAACAGAGAAAAACTATTCTACTTTTTTTATTTGAAAAAAAAAAAAACATAGATAAATAGACGCGGGCAGTGTACTCTCCTGTGATTGACCTCTGTAAAAACAAGCCGGCTCGCAAGCGCAGCAGCGCTGCCGCGCAGCCCAACAGGAACAAGAGTGCTGATCGTTAATCTATTATCCAATTAGAAACATTGGCATCAAAACGGCGAGGGCTAGCTCCTTCTGACCCCGCCCGCCCCGCCAGCCCCGCCAGCCCCGCCAGCCCCGGCAGCAACGCAACACGTAGCCTATGAAGAAGCAGCCAGTAATGTGAGATCGGAATCCGTGCCTCTGAAAGGGAGAGGGGGACTACTGCTGGGTAAATGGCCGGAGCGCACTCACACCGACTCACTCGCACTGCAGACTGAGAGTCTGTCTCTCTCGCACCCGTCAGAACGCCCCATGGGTGCGAGAGAGACAGACTCTCGGAGCCAGCCTGCAGTCCGGCCGCTCGCACTGCTGCTCGCTCTGCAAGGGAAGTAAAGGTATCGCATGTCGATGGGGCCTTAATAGAGGTGACTAGGATCCCATCATATCGAGCTGCTGCAGCACTGCAGGCATTCCAGCGGTGGCTTGGGTTACACACAGACCGGACTCCATACTGGTAACTGCGTCTCGCTGGCCGCGTGGGCAGGCGCGTTGGTTTTGGCACCCAAAGGCCCGGGTTCAAATCTGCCTGTGCAGAACTTTTTTACTGTTGCGATTTGGTGGAGGATCATCTTCGGTTCCGACCCCTTGGGGGTTCGGCGTGCGAAGCTTCTTTCGGTTCGGAGAACGAGGCCTGACATGAGCTGTCGGTGTGGGGAGCACGGATGAGTCGACCCTCAAGGTCAGGATGCATCTTGTTTTGGGCGACTCTCCCTTTCGGACTTTCCTTTCCCCTTCGGTCCCTTCGGACCCCACCCTTCATTATCCGCCCTTTTTCCTTATTCCATTCTGCCTCATAAAGTTTTTACTCGGCTCCAAGGTGCTTGCCCGGCTTTTTTTTTTCCGGCCGGCCGGATAAAAAGGCGGCCGAGGTGCGCGTCGTCGCGCGTCGCGTCCCGGCCTCGGCGACGCCTCGGCGTTGTTGACGAGCTCGCCGACTCACAGTGGGCCAGAAGACCGGCGGCCGAAATCCCGGACGCGTTGTCATCTCCAGAGTCACTGAGCAGGACTCAAGGGCACAGGCACCGGAGTTTGAATTTCGGGTCACGAGTCCGAATCTGGGACCTGGACGACACTTTTAAACTGCTACCCTGAATATTAGGGTCGTCCAAGAAGAAATGGACTGACCCCTGCAAAAATTTACTTACTTAACCCACTAGGGCGGCGGAGGAGTGGCAAAGTGGAGCTTGGGTGATCTACCAACGCAGCAACGTGCGGAGCGCGAGGCGCGCGCTGGCGAAGACCACCAGCGCCCTCTGGTGGTGGAGCCGCGAAAGAGCGGCAGCCGCACGTCGCACAGTGGGCCAGAAGACCGGCGGAGGCGGCCGAAATCCCGGACGCGTTTTGAGCTCCAGAGTCGCTAAATGGGTCTCGAACCGAACGTGTGACTCCACCAATGGATTGCTCTCCGGGCAAGGAATCCATTGGTGGGGTCACACGTTCGGTTGGAGTCCCATTCAGCGACTCTGGAGCTCAAAACGCGTCCGGGACTGACCGCCTCCACCGGTCTTCTGGCCCACTGTGCGGGGTCTCCGACTCGGATTTTCGTTTTCCCGCCAACGTGTTGTTGTGGGGCAAGGGCAAGGTGCACCAACCTGATGGGGTAATGGGGTGCGTATTACCCAGCAGGCCCACCGAGTAATGCATGGGTAGGTGGGGTAATGCCGCGGTGCGGGGTGGAGGCTTCGGAGCGCAGTCTTGTCTCGAGTCAGACGAACGGACTTGACTTGGGCAGCAAGGCAGCGACCTTTCTGGGAACCGCGCGCGGCGCAGTTCGCAACGTTCGCAACCAGAGCGGACTTGGCGGTTGGGAAGGAAACGCGGATTCCGTTCAAAGCACCATCCGCGTTGAGCGTTACTACCAGCGTGCAAGTCTCCGGCAAAAAATAGAGAATTAACCCCCGAAAAGTCCAGCATGAAGGTCTCACTGTGTCGTCGAGTCCTTCTTCCAATCCTTTCGCTGTCAACTCTCGTTCGTCGATACTGCCGGAGGATTTCCCCGTGACGCGTGCGTGCGTGCGTTGGCGGCGAGGGTGGCTTCTGGCGTGCGTGTGCGAGAGAGAGAGAGAGAGAGAGAGAGAGAGAGAGAGAGAGAGAGAGAGAGAGAGAGAGAGAGAGAGACCGCGCCAATCTCGATATCTCGATCCAAAGCGCGGCGCAGTTGGCGCCCTTTCCGGTGCGCGCCGTTGTTGTTGTTGTTGTTGTTGTTGTTGTTGATGTTGTTGATGTTGTTTTGCGGGCCTGGCCGTGCCCCTGGCCGAAAGGTCCGAGAGGGAGGCGGAGGCGGGTAAGCCTTGCCCTGCACTGCCCTGCACTGCCCTGCACTGCCCTGCACTGCCCTGCACTGCCCTGCACTGCCCTGCACTGCCCTGCAGCCTCCAGGGCGGTAATGTCAGCCTTCACTCCGTCCTTGGCAAGCCCGGCCAGCAAGCTGCGAGTGAGTCACGCTTCTAGGAAGGCGCCCAGTGTGTTTACGTAAATCACAGTCATGCCCGAACCGCCTCCTCGTCGTTGCCGATTTCACTCGGCGGAATAAGAATAAAAACGGAGTATCGGCGGCGGCCGGACCGGGCGATACCCCGCGCGGTTGAGTGACTTTTATAGTGCGGCAGCGTGATGGGCCGTGCGCGGCCACGGGCGGCCTCCTTGCGCGGGGTATCGCCGTTTCAGATAGTCGCGTAGTTATGCCTGATATCGCAGCGTGGGTCCTGGCCGCCCTGGCAATCCTGGCCATCACGGCGTCCTGCCGCGAACGGACGCGCGGACGCGCACGGCCGGCCGGGAGGGACGGGGTTAAAGGCCTGGGCCTCCATGGCCGTGGCCGGGCACGGCGGCACGCCACGGGCTGTGTCCGAGAGTCCGAGGCGGGTGGCGGCTGCGGATGTGTCCAGTCCATTTAGGCCCGGGATGACTGGTGCACGATCTGGCAGGCCCGGCCTGCGGACTCACTCCGAGAGTCGGCCTGCCCCTCTCGCACCCACACGGGACGCCCCGGGAGTGCGAGAGAGACAGAGCGACGAAAGCGACTCTCGGAATGAGTCTGGTGTGGCGCTGCGGCCCGCCCGGCCCGGGCCCGCCTTGCTGCCGGTCAGATAATTTGGTTCGCTTGAACCACGTTACCGCGTTATCGCGCTGCTTAATCGGGCGAGCTATTCGTCCGGCCGGCGCAGTCTCCGTCTCTCTCGCACCCGTGACGCGTTCCGCGAGTGTGCGAGAGAGACGGAGTGGCCAAAGAGGTGCCGGCCGGTGCCCAACGACGAGCGCTAGAGCACTCGAAAAAAAGAGGTTCGGTTATCTCCGCGGGGTCTCTCTCCAGTCGGCGCATCACACTACACTGTGTGACGAGTGTGATGGAAGGCCCCTGATTGCCTCACCCTGAACGTGGAACTGCCAGAGTCAGTGTTGCAACATGAGCGGGCCAAAATTCCCACGGTGCACCAGTGCCGGAAGGGTTGCCAACCTCAGCCTAAACCGCGTCTAGAGTTTTGGCCGCCTCCACCGGTCTTCTGGCCCACTGTGCACTGGCAGTGAATCCGTGGCCCTCGACCTTTGCCTGCGCTGCCTGCCCTGCCTTTGGCGCCCGGCCGCTCCATCAGGCGCCCCTAATGCGTCCGTTGGCTCCCCTGCGGTCTCGTCCAGAGAGGCGCTCCGTCTCTCTCGCACCCCTGCGGCGCGCCCCATGGGTGCCCGTGAGTGCGACGGAGACGGAGCGACGTTGGGAGGCAGTGGCCCTGGCCGAGGCCCTGGCCCTGGCGGGGCGCTTTGCCAAGGGCATTAGTGCACCGCCGTCGTAGCTCCGTCTCTCTCGCACCCCCGCGGCCGCGCGTCGCGCCCCGTGAGTGCGAGAGAGACGGAGCGACGGGATTTACCTGGCCCCGCGATAACTCGAGCTGGCGGGGCGGCGCGGCACGCACGTAGGCCCCAGTAGCGGGGTGGCGTTCGAACCGATCAGTACCGGTCCGTCCCGCCCCGGCCGGCAGACACTCGGAATCAGTCTGCCGGGCGCTTCGATATTGGAACGCAGCCGCTACTTGCCTGTTGCCTTGTTGCGTCCACATTCAATATCGTGCCAAAGAAGAGGCTCATATCACAGCGGCTCTTGTTCTGAAATCGATGAGTATTGGTTTTCGGGCTGGAGGGTGCGTTCTTGAAGCACTGGACGCGGATGGCCTTACCGATGCGCCGCACAGTGGGCCAGAGCCAGAAGACCGGCGGAGGCGGTCGAAATCCCAGACGCGTTTTTAGCTCTAGAGTCGTTGAGGGACTCGAACCGAACGTGTGACCCCACCAATGGGTTGCTCTCCAAACGAGGAATCCATTGGTGGGGTCACACGTTCGGTTCGAGACCCATTTAGCGACTCTGGAGCTCAAAACGCGTCCGGGATTTCGGCTGCCTCCACCGGTCTTCTGGAGGGCTTCTCCCGAACAGAAAAGCGAATGAACCGGAAATATGAACAAGTGAACGAACGCAACACGGAGAACGACCGGACTCGCGAAGGGCGGCACGATCTAGCGGAATCGGGCGAATCGTCGAGTGAAGTGAACAGCGGGCTAACTCATTCGTCGCGAGCAAACGGGCGAACCACGGTTAAATGAGTGATCGCGAACATCCAGCGAGCGAAAGTCCATCGTTCATCCTCTTCCGATCACGGACTGTATTCCTTCATCGTTGATAACCATAGCGACCATTCCTTCACCCTGCCCGTTCGTTCGCTCTGTCTGTTCATTCCCTGCGTTCGCTCAGTTTGCTCGCGGTGTCCCGGCCGTTCGAACATCGCGCCATCACGCGCTCCCTTGTTCACTCATCCGGTGTATCGTTCACCGGAGCCGTTCCCTCGCTGGCTGATTCGCTCGGATTCCGGTTCACTGGCGAACACCGTTCGGGAGAAGCCCTCCTGGGCCACTGTGCGACGTGCGGCTGCCGCTGCTTCGCGGCTCCACCACCGGAGGGCGCTGGCAGTCCTTGCCTGCGCGCGCCTCGCGCTCCGCAGATACGTTGCTGCTTTGATAGATGCCCCCAACTCCACGCCACCATATCCCCCAGCCCAACCCCCCCGTTGGATATAGTAAGTAAATTTTTGAAGGGGTCAGTCCATTTCTTCTTGGACGACTCTAATAATCGTAACCAGAACAGTGGCGCAAATTCGGACGCTTGACCCGGAAGTAAATCTTCGGTGCCTAAACGCGCGGCCACGCCGGCTCAAACGAATTCCGATGGCGCGGGGCGTGTACACTGTACACGGTGTACACGGTCTACACGCACTCACGGCAAATAAGCGAAAGGGTTTTGACGACGCTACTAAAGTCGTGCCTTGGCCGCGCTGCGTGGTCCTCAATGGTCCTCAATGGAACTTCTTCCCCCGCGAATAACTCTGGGATGTTTTACTGCGCGTTGTCCTGGGAGGCTGATTCCGAGGGCGAGGTCCCGTCGGCCTGTCTCTCTCGCACCTCTACGGGACGCCCCATGAGTGCGAGAGAGACAGAGAGAATCCCCCTCCCCCCCTTCGGAATCATCCTGCTGCCGAGGTTCGCATCCATAAAGGGCATAAGCCTCTGGGTCCTGGCGGGTCCTGCACACTGACAGTCGTTTTCGTCGCTCTGTCTCTCTCGCTCTCATGGGGCGTTCTTCGGGGTGCGAGAGAGACAGAACGACGAGGACGACTCTCGGACTCAGTCTGCTGGACCCTTCCCGGGCCTACCTGGCTCACCCCGCACCCGGAGCCACCCAATCGCCAAACTGAGGATTCTTTCCAAAGCGCAAATATTTTTTTAAGGATTATTTTTAACCTTATGAACGAAAGCTGAGTCTATTTTTACAAACATGGGAACCGCCTTCCGTCTGGTGACTGTTTTTGGGCTTTGAACAGCGAACTGCGCGGCCGTCCGCTCGGAGACTCCGCCACATACTCACGCCAGAAAAAAAAACAAAAACAAGGAAAAGAAGGAAAACACGGACTGCACCGCGAGCGAGAAGAAGTGACTGACGTACTGCCGTTCTGGCGCGCCGGGGGCCTCTCCCTCCCCCTCCCTCCCCGCTGGAAATGCATTACATCGTGACAAACAATGCAAAATGAACATGAAGCGGCGCGGCACCGCCAGCACACTGCCAGCTCCGCCGCGACACGGCGGCAGGAGGGACCAGGAGGGACCAGGAGGGACGGAGAGGGAAGATCCCTATGGCAGATTATCGCGGGGACATGCCCGGGCCCTCCATGAGTCCATGAGCCTCGCCATGAGCCTCGCCATGAGGCATGCCGTGTTTAGTTTACTAGATAAGCTCTGTCTCTCTCTCTCCCTCGCGCATTCCTTCGAACCCTCCGCCATTAATTATTTTTGCCAGTGTAGAATCTACGCCAACCAATCATTTCGACGCTCCTCTATTTTGGCGCATAGGGGCGGCGCGGCCGGGCAGCCTGGCTTGTCGCGGTGCTGGTCCTGCAGACCGATTCCGAGGGTCGCTTTCGTCGCTCTGTCTCTCTCGCACTCAGGGGGCGTCCAGTGTGGGTGCGAGGGAGACAGAGCGACGAAAACGACTCTCGGAATCAGCCTGCAGCACAGCGCGGCGTAACGTAGCGTCCTCCCTGTTCTTGTTTGCGAGCTTGGAGGCTTGGAACACGGGCTGCACAGTGGGCCGGAAGACCGGCGCAGGCGGCCAAAACTCTAGACGCGTTTTGAGCGCCAGAGTCGCTAAACAGGACTCGTACCGAACGTGTGACCCCACCAATGGATTGCTCTCCGAACGAGGAATCCATCGGTGGGGTCACACGTTCGGTTCGTGTCACGTTTAGCGACTCTCTGAAGCTCTGCACGCATCCATAGTTTTGGCCGCCTCCACCGGTCTTCTGGCCCACTGTGGGCTGCTGGCCCTGCCGGCTGGTCAGGTCCACCGGGCCCAAAGAAGCAGCAGAAGCAGCGATACAAAGAAACGCGCAACGCGCGCTGCCAAGATTTATGGATACCTGTACTCTTTTATTGCTGGGATGATATAATTAAAGGTGTGCACGCCACGCCGCGCCACGCCACGCCACGCCGCGTCTGAGTAGAGGCTGCAGGGCTCAAAGTACCAGCCGACCTCCAATTTATTCCCAGTCAAGATTTTTCGCCCGTCTGCCGCGCTGTTTTCTTGTAGTTTCCCTGGAGTTCCCCTTTTGTTGTTGTTTCTGCCGGCCATGACTTGATCGTGGGTTCGAGTACTGACCGGTGCTTCGTTTTGGCCGCAGCCACCGCTGTGGACTCACCAGCGACGACCTCAACCGGAAGTGGAGCAAGCCGGACCCCAAGCTGCACCCCTCCATCTACCACACCAAGGTAAAGGACCCGGGTTCGCGCCCCGCCGGGGTCGATCCGTTTCGGACGGTCACCTGCCTCCTCCGGCTGCGTGTCGCGACGGCGACCTCATGGTCGGGTGGCCACCCTATGACGTGTCAATGGCCACGGCCGGGTGGCCACTCTAGACTTGTCCTTGTGCCCCTGCAGGGGCTGCTGGAGTACCTAGTGCGCGTGCTGCGCCGTCCGCCCTACGTCTACATGGACTTCCACGGCCACTCCCGCAAGAAGAACGTGTTCGTGTACGGCTGCTCCAGGGCGGACTCGTGGTCCGCCGCGGACCGCGCGCACCCCGACAGCCCCGCCGAGTACGCGGTGAGTGCGAGTGGCAACCCTAGCGGAGGTGGCGGCCTGGCGGACACCGCCCGGCGAGTAGGCAACCCATCGCACGCCCGGGAGACCCGCCTGGTGGGTAGGCCACCCATTCGACACACTCCGCCCGAGTACCAGCTTGACTTGACTTGGAACCTGCTGAGGTTAGGTTAGGTTAGGTTAGGTTAGGTTAGGTTAGGTTAGGTTAGGTTAGGTTAGGTTAGGTTAGGTTAGGTTAGGTTAGGTCAGGTTAGGTTGGGTTGGGTTAGGTTAAGTTGCCTACCTATGCGGCGCAGGCACAAATACTCCCAGTTTTTCGCCAGAAAGAAACCCTTTAGGGCCTAAATGGCACCCAAATTAGTGTCAGAAGTCATAACTGAAACGAAATATGCGTCGGGCTTGTGTTCGTCGGGCAGGTGCTGCCGCAGCTGCTGTCCCTGGTGGCGCCCGCCTTCAGCCTGTCGTCGTGCAGCTTCCGCGTGGAGCGCGGCCGCGAGGCCACCGCCAGGGTGACGGTGTGGAGGGAGCTGGGGGTGCCGCGCGCCTACACCCTGGAGGCGTCGTACTGCGGCTGTGACCAGGGCCCCTACCAGGTAGTACATTTTTTAATTATTTTTTTTTCAACTGAAAACCCTTGGTGACTGTGACCTTTGTGCTGCGGCGTGTTCGGCAGGGCTACCAACTGAGCAGCGCGCACCTTCGCGAGGTCGGCGCCAACCTGTGCCAGGCGCTGGCCAGCCTGCCCGACGAGACGGAGCGACAGCGGCGGCTGCAGGCCGGCGGGGCCTCGGCCTCGGCCGCCACGACGGCGACCTCCAGCACGGCGGCGGCCTCGGCGGCCTCGGCACCGGGGGCGCCGTCCATGGGGCAGGCCGCCATCCCCGTGCTGGCCGCCGTCAAGCTCAGCGCGGGGCTCATGTCCTCGGCGCGGCTCGGCACCGGCAGCACCGCCGTCACGGCCTCGGCGTCGTGAGGGCGGCCGAGACCACCAGCCTGCCGCACGGCGTAGTGTGCCTCGAGGAGAAACGAACCGTCAAAAATGACTTGCTTATCAGTTTGCTCAGAATGAATGTAGTTGAGATGTCCGTGGAACGTGTTTTTAGCTGTTATTCGTGCACCCCGTGCTCCTCATTCTCAGTTAGCTACTACTTTCTTTTTCGCTCCATTTAACATGCACCTCGTAGCATGCGCTCATTGGTCAAAATTGGAGCAAGTGTCAGTCAACAAATCACAGTTTTTGAAGGGTCTGAACTTGTGACGCGTGAACCATATTTTACAAAGTGTGCAGTATCGCATTTTGTGACATTCTGTATGCTGCCTGCCTCAAATGTAGTGCTCATTCTCGACTAAAGGTATATTTTTGTAATAAAACAATTATTTAAAATTCATTCTTTATTCGTCATTTTTTTATACCAATTTACAATACAGGTACACATTTAGGCTTGGCCCCATCCATTACAGACTAGCAATCGAGGCAAGCTGTCATAAAACACTTAAGATTTGAATGTACAACACATATCTTACATCATTAAAATTTCTAAGAAAATTGCGATGCATCACAAACGAAATAAACTTATAAAAAGTACGTAAATTTAACATTAAAATAGAGCAAGTTCTTTGTAACAAAGTATCTTCGACCAGCGAAGAAGTCATAGCCTAACAGAGTATACACATTTTTACAATCAAATATCAGTCAATATAATACACTTACAATCTAGATCTAAGCTAGTCAATAATAAATAAGGTAAAACAGTCGAGTCGAAGGCGAAATAATCCTTCACGGTTAAAGCTTACACACACATACATCTCCGCACCCCTTGTCATGACTAGAATTCCTCCACTGCCCTCCACTTCTTGACGACCCCCTTGAGCTGCTCGTAGGTGATCCACATGGCGATGTTCCAGGACACCAGTCGGCAGAAGGACGGCGTGAACCTGCAACAGCAACATACCAAATAATGCATAAGCAAATCCACATGACCCAAAAAATTAAAAAAAATAATAAATTGAGGAGGCTGGTGGCAACCAGACAAATAAGTTTATATGGGGGGATCCATGCGACAAAATAAAAATTTAGGACGATGGTAGGTACGGCAAATAAACAGGGGAAGTACCACCAAAAAAGTCGGAGTCAAAAAATTGAGAAGGCTGGTATTTGAACCCCGGACCGCGACTCGCGACTCACCCTTTGTAAAACGCCGCCATGCCCTCGTTGGCCGCCATGCGCGTGGCCACCTCCAGGGCGTTGCGGTACTCGCCGGGCTTGGCGTTCATGTAGCGGGTCTTGACCACGTCCACGGGGGACGCCACCACGGTGGCGCAGAAGCCGGCGATGACGGCCGAGGTGAAGTGCAGGGGAATGCCGTCGTGCATCACGCCGTTCAGCAGCAGCGCGTCCTTCACCACGTCGTAGCACACGATCTCCGACACGTTCACGATGGAGTTGCGGACCACGTTGGGGGCCAGGCCTGCGAGCAGATACAGAAACAGTCAGTTTCCCGGTAATTCCTGGAGGTTCAAGTGCACTGGGCGCACAGTGGGTCAGAAGATCGGTGGGGGCGGTCGAAGTACCGGACGCGTTTTGAGCTCCAGAGTCGCCAAACAGGACTCGAACCAAACGTGCGACCCCACCAATGGATTCGTCCTCCGGAGAGCAATTCATTGATGGGGTCACACGTTCGGTTCGAGTCCCATTCAGCGACTCTGGAGCTCAAAACGCGTCCGGGACTCCGACCGCGTCCAGCGGTCTTCTGGCGGTGGTTTGTCGCTCACCTCGCCACAGCCCGAAGAAGCCCTCCGAGCCGGCGATGGAGCGGTAGGCGGCCAGCGTCGACGGGTAGGGCTTGGTGCCGGGGGGCGCGGCCTGGAAGCGCACCTTGACGACGTCGGTGGGCTGCGCGAACAGCACGGCCATGCCGCCGGTGGTGAGTCCCGCCAGCACCCTGCTCAGCACGTTCATGCTGGGCACGTCCGTGGCGCGCTTGGTCCTGTTGCCTGCCAAACAATAAACAACAATCAGTCAAATTGGTTTCATTCCTCCGCGCGGCCCAGTGCCACCATAGCGTCGTCTCGCGTGGCGTCGGGTAAGAGTGAGAGAGACAGTACGATTGGATGCATTGGAGCGGATGCATGGCGCTGGGCGCCCCGGCGCGTCACAGGATGCGCCACTTGGACTGCACCACTTGGCGCAAGGTCGCGGACGTCGGGCACGAGTGCGACAGAGACAGAGCGACGAACGACTGGCCGACTTACCGTCGATGAGGCCCTGGTAGAAGTTCTTGGTGGTCTCGTACAGGCCGAGGCGCACCGACACGAAGGCGCACTGGCGCTGCAGCCCGGCGCTCAGCCCGTTGTATAGCGAGCGCACACCCTCCTGGCGGACGATGGTCGACATGGTGCCCAGCAGGCCCTCGTACTGCGCCGCGGCCTGCATGGTCACGGGCAGGTGCAGGTGCCCGCCGACGCCCGCCAGCTGCACCATGGTGGTAGCCGGCACGCCCTGGATCTGGAGGCGAGGCAGGCCGTCAGTCACAACAAACAGGGAGCGCACAGTGGGCCAGAAGACCGGTGGAGGCGGCCGAAACCCCAGACGCGTTTTGAGCTCCAGAGTCGTTAAATGGGACTCGAACCGTGCGTGTGACCCCACCAATGGATTGCTCTCCGGACGAGGAATCCATTGGTGGGGTCACACGTTCGGTTCGAGTCCCATTTAGCGACTCTCGTCCAAAACGCGTCGCGAACACTGGAGTGGACTCACCTGCAGACGGACTTTGGCGGTGTCCAGCGGGAAGGTGGCGAAGTCGGCCAGGCAGCCGGCGGTGGCCGCGGTGGCCACGTTGAACAGGCCGTCGACGAGGGCGGAGGAGTCGGCCATCGTGTTTGGGGTTCGCGTCAACAAGCTCTAGCACACTTCACTGGCCACCGTGTCGTCCTGCTGGGAGTCCTGGGCGAGCGCAGCACGATGTCGTGAGGGTCTCCCGTTCGGCGCGTCCACAGCGAGTCTGCAAGCAGGCCAAGCAGACACAGGTCATGGTTAGAGTCCTAAAGGCCCCTTGGGGAGAACCGTCAACTTGAAAAGTGTTACGTTTTATTTCTCATATATCCGAAATTTTATGCGCGATTCCTCATATACTGACGATCAAAATGGCGTCGCTTTGCTTTGATGTTGTGTCGTCTGCTCCGGGCCTCGTGAGGTCAACAGACTTGACAGCGCTTGCAATAGGCCTAGAAACTTCCTCACCTCTTTAAATTAGTTCATTGAAGATCCCTTGAATGTCGGAGATAAATAGTGAAGCCATTTTGAGGCTCACTGCTGAATTTTTAAAATCCCCGCCGGAAGCGGAAGCGCTCGGCGGACATTTTGATCGTCAGTATGAGCACCAAATCGGTCAGAAGTCAGTAACGCAGTTGACGGTTCTCCCCAAAGGGCATTAAGGACTCTAGTCATGGTCAAGCACACGCTGGGCAAGTCCAACACGGGCAGGTGGCGAAGTCTCCGCACCTTCTGGGGGCACATTCAACAGGGGGTCGTCGTCGGTTGCAGTGTCGAAGTCGCAGTGGGTGAGGGTCTCGATGGAGCGGTCCAGATAGCCGGACGGTCAGACAAGAGAGCTCGGAGCGCCAAAACACGACTGAAGCTGAAGGCCGGCGCGCCGGGAGATGTCAACCCACCGGCACGCCCCCTCCCCTCCGTCCCCTCCCCTCCAGCCCCGCCACCCGGCTGGGCCACGCCGGCCCTCTCTCTCGCACTCGCTGACTTTCCCACCCGGCCAGACAGAGACGGAGACTTCCCTTCACCCCCTCCCTCCCCTCCCCAGACCAATCAGCTGATGGGCACGTGATCGCGGCGGGGCGAGAGGGGCGGGGTGGAAAGGGGAGGCGCCCTCCCTCTCCGTCGCACGCCGCCGCCAGCCCAGTGTGCGAGAGAGAGGGAGAGAGAGGCCGGTGCGTGTTCCCGCCAGGTGCCCTGCATGCAACCCGCCATGCAACAGTCAAGGGGTGCACCGACCCGCGCAGGGCACTGCGACAAATTTCGCCCAAAACCTCGATGGCGCCATGTTGAAGGCGGACGCTCCCAGACTCCCAGACACAATACCGGCACAGCCAAGACGAGCCAGCTGACTGTAGAGTGATCGTTCCCTTCTCATCGCCGCTCAGGGTTGATATGAAGTACCCAGTGCGTCAGGGGCGACAGCGGTCATGGTTCAGGGCCGCAGAGCGCAGGGCCCAGGGCTCGGGGTTTGGCCCGTGGAAACGTCCCTGGCTCCTGCCGTCACGGCGTCACGGCAGCGCAAAGATCGTCAACGGGTGGATCGCGATGGATCGTGCTCCCGAACGTCGGTTCGGGTCGGTTCCGAACCAAACCGGAGCGCCGGTTTTGGCCCAAACCGTTGACCAGCTTCGAGTCCCGGCGGCGCTATAATTTTTTTTCGCGATTTCAGAGCTGCAACCGCAACTAACATTTCACGGCACACATAAATACCGTGGAGATTCCTTTTCAAGAACCTGAAGGGTACCAGAGACCGACAAAAATGCAGGCTTCTGGCGGGACTCGAAGCTGGGCCAGTCGCCGGCCGGCCCACGCCCGCCAGGGCTTGGCTCCGGACCGACCCGGGCCGACGTTGGCGAGCACGATCCAACGCGATCCACCCGTTGACGATCTTTGCGGCAGCGGGTGGAAACTCTATTGCCGAAAAAGACATGCAAAGGTTTTTTGTGCACCTTAGATCTCGGAACCCAGAGGTGGTAGGTGAAATCCGAGGTCATATTTGGAATCCTCAGAAAATTTCACTCGGCGTAGGGTATGTTTAGAGCGGGAGGTCAAGGAAATGGTCGGTCATTTTGCAAAGAGAAAAAGAAAAAAAGGAGAAAAAACGTTGTGGGACCATGATCGAAACGTTGCATTGTTTTGTGGTAACACTTAATGCAAGAGAACGGGACCTCGTAGGTAAATTCTGAGGTCATTTTCTAAATCCTGAGGAAATTTCCTGTGCATTACGCTGCCTGGGAGTGGTCAACACACCAAAATAACAGAAAACCGTTGCCGTGAAACTGTGAGAGGGTATGCAGCGATTGTATTGCATAAAATTACAAAACAGTCTGCCGTTGACTGCGTGTTCTAAAGGGTACAGGCCCTCCTTCTTTGAAACTTATAGGTGGAATGCACACACGAAAGCACGCTGAATTCATATCTGTACTCAGAATTTGAATTGGCCATACCGTTGTCTCACATTAAGCATGACCAAATAGCTATTTTCGGGATAAAGCGTAAATTTCGATCCTGGTCCCAGAGCGTTTTTCACCTGTTTTTTTACTTTCTCATGGCAAAATGACTGACCATTTCCTTTGCCCCTGGCACTAAACATGTCCTACGCCGAGTGAAATTTTATGAGGATTCCAAATATGACCTCGGATTTCACCTGCCACCTCTGGGTTCCGAGATCTAAGCTGCACAAAAAACCTTTGCATGCCGTTTTTGGCAACAGAGTTTCCACCCGCTGGTCACGGCCTTGCCTGGCCGCGCCCTTCGCAGTGGCCTGGTCCCTTCCCGCCCTTCCCCGCCGCCCTGCGTAAGACGAAACACGCTCCACACTAAACTTTCCCGCTGCGTAAAACTTTCCGTCCGTCTGGAAGTTTCTGCACTGCATGGCGGGAACCCGGGCTGCAGCCGCCAGCCACCCCGGCCCGCCAGACCGCCCCTCCGGTGGGATGGCCGACGGCGGGAGCCCCGAGACCACCGCGTCACACTGTGTGGCCAGAAGACCGGTGGAGGCGGTCAAAAGTCTGGACGCGTTTTTGAGCGCCAGAGTCGCTAAATGGGACTCGAACCGAACGCGTGACCCCACCAATGGATTCCTCTCCGAACGAGCAATCCATTGGTGGGGTCACACGCTCGGTTCGAGTCCCGTTTAGCGACTCTGGAGCTCAAAACGCTTCTGGAGCTTTGGCCGCCTCCACCGGTCTTCTGGCAAATCCACTGTGCGCTCGGCCAGCCCCAGAAGGCTCTCGTCCTGAAGCCCTCGACGGCGAGCCTTGATTTCCGCCCGGAAGTGCCGCCCGGATTTACCCCCAGCGCGCGGCGCGGTTGAATCGCGCGCCGAGAGACGCCGCCTCCGATTGGCCCGCGCTGGGGCTTCCCTCGCGCGGCGGGCCAATCACAGCACAGCTAGCAGACGGGGGCGTCCAGGAGTTACGTAACGGCGGGAATCTCGACAACTTAGTTCCGCGTCGCGCCTGGGGGGAAAGTCGCCCGTTTTCTCGGTGTTGACAGTGTAGTGCCTCACAGTGCAGCGCACCGGCGCGCTTCCCGCCCCGCCCGTTTGTTTGCAGTGTGTCAGCCCGTGCGGCGACCCACCCCAAGCCCAAGACCGTGGAGACAAACCCCAACGGTGCGCCGCCCCACCTCCCTTCACCGCAGCGGCGGAATCTTCCACCACGCGCGCGCAGGCGTGCGCGGCGTGATCGCCAGCGCCTCCAACACGACCAGCGCCGCCCAGCGCCGTCCGGGAGCACGCCAACCCCCACCCTTAGCCTCGAGACGGCGGGGTACTTGAGGTGGGACGGTGGGACAGAAGCAAGGATCAGGTGTCATTGTCTTGAGTGGAAAGTGGAAAGGCAAGGCGTGGAATCGCCACTGTAGGCGCCACTAGGGGGGGGGGGGGGGGGGGGGCGGTTGAAGGGGGGGGGAGCAGGCGCAGCAGAGCAACAACCCGAAATGGAGAAGGGCACCAATCATTCCAAGTAGTGGATGATCGGTTTTATGGACCGCGATTCGATAGACCGCCGCCGCGGTGGCGTTCCGGAGGCGTTCCGGAGGCGTTCCGGAGGCGTTCCGGAGGCGTTCCGGTGGCGTCCGCCCGCGTCCGCTTCACCCCTCCCCGTGTTCGATGTTTGCCCAGACGGCGGTTCAGTGTGGTATCGATGGACTACCTGCTGTAGATTACGTCCGGGCCAGATTAACCAGTGCCGCCTATCAGGCGGCGAGGGTTGCCTTGTGTCTGGTCAGTCTGGCCGTCTGGCCCGGCGAGAGTGCAGGCACACCAAAAAGGGGGCCGAAAATGAAAATAAAAAAGAGCATCAGAGACTAACTTTTACATTAAAATACATTTACAACAAGTGTCTTTTAAAAATAATTTTTGCACTGTTTACGGGTTATTTTTACCAATTTTTAGTAAAAATTTAAAGTTTTGGTAGTGTGTTTGTGTGTTTTGGGGTGTGGGAACCCCATTCCACTCGAAGCCCCGAATCGCCCACCGGCACTCTGCACACACACACTGTCAATGAGCATGGCCCCCCCCCCCCCCCCCCCCAAGTCTCGTGGCCCTCGCGGCCGCCTGCTAATGAGAGCGAGAGAGAGGGCCGACCCCAGACGCCCCAGACGGCGTTATGTCACCGCGGCCCACCTCGTGGACCGCGTGGACCGCGTGGACCTCGTGGCGGTACACTGGGATGGGGCAGTGGAGGCCCTCCCTTATCGGACCGGCTGCAGAGACTGAGAGTCGTTTTCGTCGCTGTGTCTCTCTCGCACCCAGGCGGTGCGCCCTGTGAGCGCGAGAGAGACGGAGCGACGAATCAGTCCGCTGGAGGCTGCGGCTGAAGCTGAGTCAGTATCCAAAACAAAGCGCCATCGCCGCATCGAACCACAACACAGGAAAAGCCCGGCGCAGCCGAGGGCGCGCGGAATACTTTTAAAATCCGCGGCGCATCGTTGGTCTGACAAATCTTCCAGCACTGCACCTGTCGCTCCGTCTCTCTCGCACTCATGGAGCGTGCCGTAAGGGTGCGAGAGAGACAGCGAGGGCTGGCCTCGTTTCCGAACTGCATTCGCGCAGGCGGGCACGGCGGGCACGGTGGCACGGTGTACAACGAAGGACAGCCGGCTTGGCCGCCGCCCGTCGCCGAGTGCCCTGGGCAAACAAACGCGCGTCCGGCCGGCCGGCGCTTGGGCCGGCGGGGTCGCGGGGGTCGCCGCAGGTTAGGTTAGTCCGACTGTACACTGCGACGGCCTTGGCCGCACGCGCCGTCGTGGCCGTCGGGGCCGTCGCCATGCCGCAGCCGTGTCGCAGCCCTTTTGCCCTTCGGGGGCAGGTGGGCGTTCGGGTTCACCTCGCTCGCATGCTCGCCTGGTCGGCGCGCCTGTTGCGTAGGCAGCCACGCATCGCGGGGCGGGGCGCGGCGCACAGTGGGCCAGAAGACCGGTGGAGGCGGCCAAAACTCCAGACGCGTTTCGAGCTCCAGAGTCGCTGAATGGGACTCGAACCGAGCGTGTGACCCCGCCAATGGATTCCTCGTTCGGAGAGCAACCCATCGGTGGGGTCACACGTTCGGTTCGAGTCCCATTTAGCGACCCTGGAGCTCAAAAGGCGTCTAGAGTTTTGGCCGCCTCCACCGGTCTTCTGGCCCACTGTGGGGCGGGGTGAGATAGCGGCCGGTGCGACTGGTGCGACTGGTGCGACGCGACGCCGAGCCCCGGCTTGCTTATCTCGCGTGAATGCTGGCGATAAATTATTGAACCTTGTTCAAAAGGCGGCAGCCTGGCTGGCAGAGCGGGCAGCGCTGGCGGCCTATCGGGGACACGGACCGGTGTGGCCTGCACTGCAGCCTGCAGCCCGGCCTGCAGGGGGCTGACAGCCTTATGGGACGGCCTGCAGACCGAGAGTCGTTTT